GAGCCGATGAATAAACATGAGGCCAAGCTGATGTTCCTCGTATGGGCAGGGGGGGCGCTGTGTGCGGCTGGTGTCCGTCAGCCCGGAGAGAGCAGTGACATTGAACACACTCAGGCACCCGCAGGCACGTACAGCCAGGCAGACACTGAGACGGCGAGCGGTGGCATTTTACCTCGATGCAAGAGGCCGGATTTGCAGCCGTTTTAAAAGTGATGATTGCCCCGTTCTCATATGCCACTCGCTGGTAAATCCTATTGCTGCCAGGTGGGGGGAGTCTTCGGGGGTTAGTTAGTCTCATGAGGTGCAGTTCCAACACTGACCACCTATTTGCCAGCAAGCTGTAGAGCAGGTACTGACAGCTGCATTTTTCATGTCTAGTGGTGTTGGAATATGGGGTGGGGGGAGGGGGTTGACCATAACTCTATGTTGCTCCATTTCCCCTCCCATTGCCGCACCCTGACTAATCTTCGACACGGTGCTCCAACACTTCCTGTTTCATTCCATTTTGAAGACAGTCACATGATGGAACGGCCTTGGTCAACCATGACACGGCGCAGCCAAGACCGTATCCAAGGGGGCTCTCAGACCATCTCTCTAACTCAATTCAAATTCACCTTCGATTCAGAGCCGGCTCAGGAAAAGCCTCCTAGTTCACCTGGATTTAATCTCACATCAAAGACTCTTTCACGGATGAATCAGAGAGTGCCGCTAATCTTCATCTCGCCTCCCCGATTACGGCAGTTCAAGAAATCGCATGGCCGACCTTTTCGGTATCAGCGCTGCCGACTAGGCTGGCTTATATCCGCTGGGTGACAGCAGAGACAAGGGTGACGTAAAGCTAGAGGAAGATGTATGATAAACAGGGATTTTATGTTAATACTGAAAGAAAGAAATACATTCAGCAGGCAGGTCTGTGTGTGATCTATGTGTGTGTGTCTGTGAGTGTGTGTGTGATCTATGTGTATGTATGTGTGTCTGTGAGTGTTTCTGTTTGTGTGTTTTAATCTACTGCCCCAAACACTGCAAAACTATACTATGCACATAAACACAAGTCTTAAAAAAGTTGCCTTCAGAAAAAAAAAAGTTAGAAAGTTAGAAAATCTACAGTACCTTCAGTCGTTTTAATAAACGTCATCCACTCTTTTTCCCTCTCCAGTGTAAAGAAAATCCGTCCGGCTTTAAAATTCAAACCAGCACTTTTTTCATGACTCTCCTGTCTATTTTGAATGGTTCTGCCCCACTGGGAGAAGTTTGAAAGGCTTCAGGAATCGCCTTTTGTGGCCAGAAGACATAGTTTGGACCCCTCCAAGCTCTCCCCAGTGGGAGCACCAGGCAGGGATCACCTGATTTCAAACTGTGATGCTGAAGTCATTGTGGGACACCTACTCAGATCGTCCTCTACGACTGCCGCACAGAAAGGCAGAATCAGGTCCCTGCATAAAAATGGAACTTCCCATCTTATCGAAGCGAAGCCACCCCTCATGTCCGCCATGGTACAACCTGAAGAGCTCAGGCATGGAGTGCAGGAAGTGATGTCATTCAAACTGTAGGAGGTGTCCTGTTGGAAAACATCTCTTAAAGGATGAGGCAGATCCCATGGACGTGGGCAGCTGGAGGGGGGTGGGGGGGTCATAGACGGGGCCTGTGGTTTGTGCGAAGTGGGTGGATAATGGTGAATAATCTCTGGTGTTTGGGGGGGGCTTCCGCAGGGGAGCTGGAGGTCTGGGAACACATTGTGATGCCAGAGGCTAAAAACTGTAGCGTGATGTGCTGAAAACAGACAAGGTCATCTGGCCTGGTGGAGAGGCATGGGGACGCAGAACCTCCTCTGTGGTGTGTGACTCAGTGGCCGAGGCTTCCGTGCCTGTGATTGGAAGGTCGCTGGGTCCAATCCTGTGCTCAGCAGTGTAGCCGCATCTTCTCTGGGCCCTTGGCCAAGCTCCTTAGTTAACGCCCCTGAAAATTGCTGCAGGGGTGCTGGATGGATGGCGGACCCTCTATACTGTACTGTATGTGTGTATGACTTAAAAAGAGGAGCATGATGGGAAATGCCAGAACGAACACATTCCATTGCACCTGTTCAAACGGCAAAGGAAGCTTCACTTCCCGTGGCTTTTTGCCTCGGCTTCTGTCCAGCGAAGGAGATGCTGACCCGGTTCATTCGGGGCGATGATTTGTTTAGCAGCCATCCTCCCGAACACGCCGCTAAGTGTCCTGGAAGAGCTACGGCATCTGAATTAGCAATGGAGGCCGATGGTGCGCCGACAGCATTAAGCCCCATGGCGGGAGCGGCCCCCGATCCCCAAGACTCGCTCATCTTCCGCGGCAGATAAATCGGCAGTCGATTAGGCCCAGGCCGGGTACGGAGCGGATCGCGTCCGTCCGGAGATTAACTCCCGGCTAATTCGATGGATGGCGAGCGCTGAGAGTGTCGGCGGAGCGTGTCGACAGACGGAGCCGCGTGGCCCAATTCGGCAGGACACGGAGCGTGACACGGGAGCGTTAAATCGGGCCTCGGGAGGGCGAGAGTCCGGTGTAGGAGAGGATCTGCGTTAACGGCAGCAGGATAAGAGGCTAATGCATTCAGCAAGCACTGGCAGAGCTTCTCAACATGCCATTAAATCGGCGGCCATCGCCATTACTGCACTCCCATTCTTAATAACACTGAAGAACTTTCTAAGGTCGGCAATTTTAGGATAATGCTAAGCAAGAACAAGAATGAGGTTTTAAGCATTATAATGAAACCTTATAGGCGGAACTACCTGATGCTAATTGGGTCTTTTCAGATAAATAAAAAAGAATTAACTATTTCAGGTAAGGACAAATGAAAACTTGAAAAAATGACACCCAAGTAGCCATGTGCTGACTGGCCACAAGGTGGGTGGGGCTTCTGAACACTGTACTGACTGAGCATGAAGAGGGCGGGGCTTCTGAACACATCCTGATTGGGTAAGAGGAGGGCAAGGGTTCTGGCCATATGCTGCTTGGGTAGGAGGAGGGCGGGGCTTCTGGCCTTGTGCTGACTAGGCAGGTTGAGGACAGCAGCCTTTCTACATTTGCCCGGCTAGCCACCATTCATCCCTACAACTGCAATCAGTGTTAAGGGCCAGCTGGATTTCATTACAGAGTTTCTCTGGCCATGGGGCTGGTGATCAATCACCGCAGGAGCGTGAAGTCAGTTAAACCCAGGTCTGCACTGCCGCCCGGCCCCCTCCAGCCTGCTGTTTCCTCGGTGCGAGGCCCCTCCACATCCTTTTAAAAGCAGGCGACAAGCAAAAACGATGACAAATTATATTTATACAACTAACAGGGAGCAGGACATGGCGGCACACCTCAGTGCCTCCTGAAAAGAGCCAAGAGCACTTTACCACCACAGCTCTTTCAGAAAAAGGTCAGAGAGGAAGCGCGTCCCAGCGATTAGCTTACAAACGAGCGGAGCTGGCATTTCAAAGATTGGCTTCCGTCCTGTTAATAAATAAACAAAAGGCCCGACAAACCATCCCCAAACAGGATTTTCATAGAATATATCACCGTGTCGCGGGGGGGCACATCAGCTATAGATGTAAAACCAAAGGGGAATTAAAAAAAAAAACACACACACACTCTCAGAAATGACTTTCATATCAGGACAGGAGTGGTAGACTTCACCTTTAAAATTTTTATTGCTCCATATAACAGCATGTTAATGTGTCCCACAGTGCCACACTTATCCCACAAATACACACTTACATATTAAATCCTGAGACACACATGCGGGTGTCACACATCGGCACACAGGGGAGGAGGGTCTCGGACAGGGGTCAGCTTCGTGGTTCACAAAGCTCTTCCAGTGGTGTTATTTTTTTACATCCTTGACACGCAATGAACAGGCAAACCACACCCAAAGAAGCACATACCGCATAATCCCAACGGTGCGATAATGAACAATATCAACGAGTCATAAGAAGGGCAGCCCTTGACCTGAACACAGAAAGGGCAGCCGGTTGGATTTGGGTTCATGACTCATGACAAAGGCAGCCTACTGTGGATGGGACATGGGGGGGAGGGGACACTCATTGTCCATATTAACTTGATTCAATCTGTGTGACTTTACACAGCAAAGAGGACGAAGTGTGGTGATTTTTAAAGGCGGGGAGCACCTGGTTCTCCGGTGCAGGACATGAAAGTCAGGGAGGTGACCAGCCTACCCTCAGGAAGTCAGCAGTTAATTACAGTGTCTCACCGATATGCCCAATCATCACTCTCTAATAAAATTAAGTAATTACCAGCAATTATCGCATTACAGCCTCCCTTACAAGGTACAAAAGGAGGGGACTGATTCAATTTCTACTACATTCCGTTCTCTTATCACTGCAGCTACATTCCGGAACCTGTTGCTATGGCGGCTGGTGTGTCCTGTTAGTATTCCCTCCGTTTCTCTTCAGAACAAAGAGGAATGAAGGATTAGCCCAGCGCGGATGTGTATGTACCGCAAGAAACATGAAAAATTATATTCATTAACTCCCTCAAACAACTTTTGCACTCTGATACTTACAAAATCAGAGATGCAGTTTCATAATAATTATATAAAAAAGTTTCATACTCAAAAACGTGTACAGGTTTATAAAAATATAAGACTGTGCTGATTTAAATAAAAAAGCATTTTGGCAATCAACAGATGATTAAAGGTGAAACATTCAAAGGATTGATTAAATGAAAAATCTTGAAGATGTGTTATAGGGTTATGAGGGGTTCATGGGCGTGCCATAAAAAGGAATTAATGTAAAGGAATAAGAAAATAAATGCTGAGTAGGAAAGTAAAATGAATACAAAATATAAATAAAAAATATAAAAATAAAAAAATGAAAATAAATGTTGAGTAGGAAAGTAAAATGAATACAAAATATAAATAAAAAATATAAAAATAAAAAAATGAAAATAATGTTGAGTAGGAAAGTAAAATGAATACAAAATATAAATAAAAATATAAAAATAACAAAAAAATGAAAATAAATGTTGAGTAGGAAAGTAAAATGAATACAAAATATAAATAAAAATATAAAAATAAGAAAATAAGAAAATAAATGCTTTTCTTTATTTCTTTTTCCATATTGCTTTTGTCTTTTCCCTGGGGTGTTTGCGTTTTCTCAAAGGGCCAAGCTGTGAATTATTACTGGTTTTGGGCAGGCCTTCCTGCCCAGGCTGAGTGGTCAATAGGGGGTATGCACATGACATCACAGTAGGCGGGATATACTCTGGTCACACCCACTGAATGACAAAAAAATTTGTGGCAGCAATAGCGTTCAGCGTACAACACGATTTAACAAGAAATCTTTTTAGACGGCTGGATCACTACAATCCAGAGCAACAACTGGAAAACAGGCTCTGAAACATGGATTTGCGGCTGTCAAATTGTGTCAATTATGTTTGGTTTTTGGGTAATATCATACCTTAAGTTATAAACTGTACAAACTTACTCATCAATTAAATATTTAGCATCATTAATTTACGTTCTGTGTAGCTATAAAGTTTTGTCAGCATTGATTCAAAAACATCCATGATGAGCCTTATGTTCTACAGACAAAGTGGGGGATGGTTAGAGAGTGTTAACTAGCCAAGACAAACCTTTAAAGGACTAATCCACAAAAAAAGTTTAGATACTCAGCCAGATCACTTTAAAACCTGATTTGTAGCCACGTTTCAATGTCTATGATCCAATGGTAATTTGGGAAGTTGGATGAATCCCTGTCAAGTCCAACTGCCTTTAATTTAAGCAAATAATCGTTTGTCTCGCAGTTTCCCTGACTACAATCAGCCATGTTGCAGCATGTTTTGCCACTCAGTCTGTTTGAGGGGGCGTGTTCCCGCAGGAAGGCCCGCCCAAAGCCATTTGATTGACAGGTCGGCCCTTCGGGAAAAAGCAAAATCAATACAGAAAAAGCAAAAGGAAAAGCATTTATTTTCTTATTATTATTTATTCATCATACGTATTTATTTTACTTTCTTACTCAACATTTTCTTGCTCTTTTACAGATGTATTCTTTGTTATGGCACTCCTATGGCTCCATAGTTTAGCACAATGGTTCGATACTGCTGTGATACTTTTTCGATCCGATCTCTTCCATTTGCATGGAAATACATCATCTAAGGCAGTGTCTCTCACCGCAGCCTCCAGGGACCCCCAGACAGACCACATTTCTGCTCAATCGCAGGGCTGAGAAATGCTGATTTCAGGCAGTCTGTGGAAAACTGGTTATTTACAATAAATGTGAATCTCATCAACAGTTAAATAAAATACTGCTCTTCCTGCTGTGATGTTTGGGAACCATAATGGCCATTAGTTACTGTGTATAGTTCAAGCCTGAGAGCTAGTGGTGTGTTTACCGGGCTGGGAAGGCGGAGCAGGTCCTCATGTGAGGCCACATCAAGGTTCTTCACACCTCTGCTTCTGGGCTGTGTAATAACCCAACTGGGTCTTCCAGCTCTGCATGTACGAGGCCCAGCGCTCAAACTCCTTCTTCCACTGCTGTTCCACCTCATCCACGGACGCTGAGGAGAGCAACAACAACAAGACAATCACCGGGAGCTCAGCCAGGTTCCCTGTCCCCCCTTTAGCTCTGCCAGTGGCTCCTCCCCCACCTCACACCCACTCCGCCACCATCTACTCTAAGCCAGAACCTCCCCCCGGCTCCGTTCCACATCTATCTGGGACCCCGGTTCCCTTGCTGCCTCTGCAGGCATGTCTGTCACCTCATGCCCGTCCTCGTCACCAGTGGTCGTCCAAGTAGGTCTGAGCCTTAACATTTATTTTTATCTGGCACTTTGGGTGAAATATTACTTTGCTTGGCAACAGGTTTTCATTGTTCCTGTTCTGGGAGGGGGTCGACTTCCCATGTTAGCGATGGCTGTTCTTTTCTCAGGAAAGGTCACACATGGGTGTCTTTGCTTATTATACAAGCTTGTTTTTTCAGCTTGGCATAAATCCCTACACAGCTACAGAAGTATACACCAAAAGAAGAAAAAAAGCATACTATGCACTTCACACCACACACGCTGGTACTACTACACGCTGTTTACACAGTCTATTCTCTTTAGTAGTCGCTCCACATGCATTTAACTTAAATGTCAATTAATTTCAAATGTTAATAAAAAAATTTGAAAATTCAGCCTTTAAGGGTTTTAAAATCCGTCAAAATAAATTCTGCCACTTTCATATTCTAGCAGTTTCTTTTGACTTCTTATAGCCAAGCAGCAGATGGATGGGCAATGTGACTTAGAAGGTCCCCGGGGTGAAACTTATATGCATGTAAAAGCAACCCTAAAATAAACCGTAAGGGCAGGGATCATGTTTGCATAATTAGCTCCGAGAACAAGGCTGAGTGTTATTCATCTTTTAATAATATTAAATATTTTTCTGATGTGCTGACTGACTAACTTGCCCACTCACAGTCCCCCCCCCCCCCCCCCCCCCCCCCCACACACACACACACACACACGCACACACATACAGGTATATAGTGTTTAGCAGGACAACCTGAACCCACAGTGGTTTATGGGGACACCCATTTCCCACTGTCTTATCAACACAGAACTAACACCAAAAATTTTTATTTGGTGTAAATAAGATACATCCCACTTCAAATTTAAGTTAGTGTGCTGAGATCACAATGACTTTAAACACCTGACAATTCACAGGCTTACAGGGTCACAACGTTTTTAGTGTTTACCAGGACATTTGGGATTATAAGGTCGGTTGATTTACAATACACAACTTTAATCATTACCTGGTATATGAGGACTGACAGGGTTTAAGAGGCCAGTACATATAGTACATAATCAGTCACTGTTACACAAGGTCTGTTTCCAAACCTTAGCTTACACTGGATTATAAAATCTTAGACCTGGTATCAGAGTACTGCACATGTACACTTTTAGAAGCTTGCAATGATTAGTACGGTATCCAACATGATTGAACTTGATTCTATATATGCACTATGGAGAACATGGACTAAGATCGGTGTATTAAAAAAAACACATCCCTAGATTGTTAGATGCCATTATGGAGCAGAGTAATCATTATATTAGGACCTAGTTGTCTAGTTGAAACAGCAAAGTCCTCTTCAGTTTAGCAGCAGCACTTATGAGCTCATTTAGGTCCAATTACAGCAAAAATCCTCAGCTATTTCTAATTTTTCTGAAGATGTGTCTTACCTCACTATGTAGACAAAGCAGTAACTGTATCTCTGTTTGGTCTGAAATCCTCTCCATAACTGACAAGATTGGTATGCAAAATGCCCCAACACACCCTTAAGTCTAGTTTTAGGTGAAAATCATGCAAAAATACAAAACAGGTTATCAATGCTCTTTTTTAACTCTTCAAAAATACTCTTGATAAACAAGAAACAATCAAAGCATGATTTCATTTTAAGCTTGTTTAATTAGTGTATACTTTTACAACTACATGTAAAAGTACCATGGTCTTTTCGCAGCATGTTTTCTGACTTTGGTAGGCACTAAAACAGACAGATAACGTTAATGTTAAAAATAGTCATTCAGACCTCTTCACTTCCTGTACATGTTACTGTGAGACATGTTTTCATTTTGTCATTATGGATTAGATTAAAGAACAAAAATGTCAGTTTTACCTATTTCAAATTAAATCTACAAATCAATAACGTGTGCAGAGCATCAATGGGTCTGAATGCTATCTGAATTCACTGGATATAACAGGTTAAAATACACACATGTAGACTGGAATGAGCACCATTTCTACATTAGTTTTAATTTAGATTTTTAAGAAAAAATCAGTTTCAGAAAATGGATGAATGGATCTCCTTCTCTTTGATCTTTCACTTACATTACATTTTTGTTAGCGAGCTGTTGCTCCCAAAGTAAGGATACTTTAATACAGGGGTGGCTAATCTTATCCGCAATGGGACGGTGTGTGTGAGGGTTTTCGCTGCAACTCCCTAACTAAGTTACTAATTAGAGGACTGATTGGCTGAGGAGTCCTCACACCTGGGTTTAAACAGCTGACCTAAAGGTTATCCCAAAAACCTGCATACACACCGGCCCTTTGCGGATAAGATTGGCCACCGCTACTTTAATAAGACAATAAACAATGACTACCTTTACAGCAATAAGAGAATATTCTGAATAAGACACTATCATGCAAACAGATTTTTCATTACCATACTGTATAAGCATTAACTGGAATAAGACGTAAACTATTCTCCAATCTTATTCGCATTATGCAGACATGTAAACTCCTTATTCGCAAAACACATCCTAATAGAATTTTTTGCAGTATTTTACAACACATATGGCATTTGCCAACTGCTTAAGGACATGAGCTGTGTCATCTATTGCTGCTGCATTTACTGGCATGTTTGCCCATAAAATTAACAAATCAGAATGTAAAATTGAGCTGGAGTAGAAAATACTCAAAATGGTTTGTGGTAGTTTGGGTAGTCAAATTCTAGAGGAAAAATCTAGGTGCGTAGGGAACGTATCGTGGGTGTGCCATTAGGCATGGAAACAAGAATATGAACAGAATACTCCATAAATAACTCATGTAAACACCACAATCAAAAAATTGACTTTATTCTTAAGTCAATGTTCAGAATATTACTGCCTATGTAAATAGTCAATGACAGCCATTCCTACATGAAGAATGTTTTCCTCTGAATGTGTAAGAGATCCTACTGAAACCCTACCGTTACTCTCATTTTTGTCAGTGTTTGCACCTGAAAAATAAATTAAAAAGGCATATTACACACAATTATTTACACACACATTGCTTAAACCTTTAAATACACAGTGAGCCATGAACTACATTAATTTAATTTATGCTGGCACTTCACAAGGCTTATGCTAAACTGTTTCCAGTCAGGAGAACTACAATTAACAGTAGCTTTTCCGATTTCACAAATAGCATTCAAAGACAATAAAAGTTGAATTGGCCAATGTCTTACACATAAACTACTGTTAGCTATACAGTCATCAGAAACCTTACACTGTCCTGCTACACCACAATGACGTTACACACAAATAAGAGTTGATTTGNGTAGAATTAAGGCAGTTCTGAAGGCGAAAGGGGGTCAAACACCGTATTAGTATGGTGTTCCTAATAATCCTTTAGGTGAGTGTATGTGCTTATTTATATAGTTTAAACCCTAAATATGACCCCAGTCATGCTCCCAGAACACTTTAATTTCATTTAAAAGTTAGCTTAATACATTACCTTTAAAAAAAAACCCAAATGTTTGATGTAAAAATAGAGTACGGATATTTGTCACACTAGCACATTTACAGTACAGTATACTAATGTTACCCCTACTAATTCATAGAACACAGCATTGGCTGCCGTTTTCTTTTGCATTCACAGTAAGGTAAAATTAGTAAACGAACGGGACTGTAAACTTATTGACAGAAGTCATATAAAAACCAAGGTACAATTTAATAAAATACGTAAAGGAAACATATACATGTAATTTTCGTGGATTTATGAATTCATGAATCACGAAGCCTGAATGCATGGGGGCTGGCTGTACTCTCAATTTATAGTCCATCAGAGCTTTTGATGCAGCTATTGTGTCTTTGCTTGAAATTGTGCATGTCCGCCCTGTTGCTGTCACAGGTTCAACTACTAAAAGCACATCCTGATGATCCATAACAAGTCTATCAGGATGGCATGGGAATGAATAGGATGGTGATGGTCCAAGAGGATGTAAAAAACTCAGTCTCAACTCTCCAGTGCTGGGCATAGTTTCTTCAATACATCGTAGCCATCAATTCTCATCATATGCAGCCATGACATAACCTTTGATGCTTGCAAAGTCGAGTGATTCCCTAAGTGTGCACTTACACTGGACCGATTTTCACACCTCACTCACCTGAAGTCCATATGAAACCATGTAACGCTAAATTTAGGTCAAGATATCTCAGCAACAACTTAAAAACCAAAGACCAAATTTTCTGGAGATGTTCATTACATTATGATCTAGCTTTAGTAAAAAAATTCTCAATTTTGAAACATAGGTTTCTTTATTATTGAATTTTTAATATTTTGATCAGTTATTACATAGTAATTATTAAAATGGGGATGGCATATTATTTATTCAGTCTATATATTTATTATACAGCTGGACAATAGCTTTAAAACAATATGAGGACCATTTCTGTGCAGCTTATATTAAGGTAAATATAGCGAGTCAAAGTCATAGTCCCCCCCCAAAAAAAAAGTTAAAACTTTGTTTGTTTAAATCTCCCTCAATATTGATCCAAGACACGCCCAATTTCATGAGTTACTCAAGTAACCAAATCAGCATGCCAAGTTTCGTTAAAATCCGTGACGGTGAAGTCCGAAAGTTTGATGATTTGATATGGGATGACCCAAGAGTTGATTTGACCAGTGTCTTACACATATACAGTATTGTTAGCTATACAGTCCTCGGAAATCTTACACTGTCCTGCTATACCACAATGACGTTACACAAAAATAAGAGTTGATTTGGCCAGTGTCTTACACATAAACTACTGTTAGCCATACAGTCCTCAGAAACCTTACACTGTCCTGCTAAACCACTTGATGGGATCTGGCCTTCTGCCTCGTAAGCTCCTTCACTGCACTACAGTGTTATATTTACACATCATGAAATAATTTAATAGGACTAAAGATTTTGAAATGTTCATGTAAAAACTATGTATGTAAAGAAAAATTTATAACAAATGAAATTATTTAGGTTAAATATGTTTTTTTGTCACAACATTCTTTGACATTATTTTTACAGGCATCGGTGTACTAATGATACACAATCAGGTATTAAGTCTAAACTACTCTGAACGATTATCACGTTCATGGGCATTGCCGCCATTAAATCTGCCGCCCCCCCCCCCTCACATTTCATAATTATTAGTTTGGACCTCCCCACATTTAACATAAAATATTAGTTTCATGCCAGCGTGTCCCCCCACATTCAAAATGCTTCCGACGCCACTGATCACGTTTTATCATGATGTATTTCCTGATTCCCATATGACTGACAGACTACAAACACGTGCTGTCTACAAAACATACAAGAAAATATGCATTATTAACAAAGAACATTCGGTTTATTGTGATATTGCCCTAAACGTGCATGTACTGTAAACAACTGTTATACTCACTACGCGTATCCCGGTGCCGTACACAGACCAGATAGAGTGCACACCCTATTGAAGCAGCATATATAGCCCGATTTAGCTGCTTTTTAACCATATAACTTTATCTACATTATGTTTGATCCAGCAAAAAGCAGCTATCGACGTGCATAAACTGAGGGATACAGCCTTAGCAGGCTGAGGACAATCAGTTCAATCGGTTTTTTTTCTCTATTCCGATTTTAGAAACCTGCAAACGCTCTTATTTATATATATATTATTTATACTGTTTTGATAAATTAAAAAAATAAATAACAAAAACGTTCCTAAGCTAATACAGCTAACTGGGTACTGGTATATGCTTATTAAAGAAAATGTTATCCTGAAGTAAATAATAAAAAAATTGTCAATATAATTTTTCTTAATTTAATCGTATAAACATGATATTGAAAACTTTTTGTCACGTCACACAGCACTTACTGTAAAACAGCTCTGAAGTTTTCGTGGGGAAAATTAGTCCTGCTTGTCTCCACCTCCTCTGACGTCAGAAGCAGTACACATTTTGGCGCAACTCTGTGTATTAGTTGGCGCGAGATTGTATGTGTTGCAATACCAGGTCCCGCCTACAGGGGCGCTTGTTAATTTTTTTTACATGTACACATTATGGTTTATTAGGTCAATTTTCAAAAACATGAAAAACTTTGTGGGGGTTGTTTTTTAAGTGATATAAGACTAATTGTGGAGTCCGAATTACGAGGACACTAGAAATGTCCTTGCAATCCGAATGTCCTCATAATGCTGGTGTGTATTCAGGTATTTTGTCCTCATACACCATATATACCAACACACGCACACACACACACACACACGCACACACAGCCCACCCGCCAATGTCAGCTACTCACTGAAACACAATACTCATGCTCTAAGTACCTCAGCTTTGGATCCCTGAAAGCAGGGAGAGGAATCTGGCAGCTAAGAATCAAGAAGTTTCTGACCTAAAGGATTCAAATCCCTAGAGGGAAATTCCATCGCACCTCAAACTGCTACAGTGAGCATTCCTGAACTGGGGAAATGCCAAGCAATAAGTCTGTTGCTCAAAAGATGGTAAAATCATGCCGGACAGAAGGGTACGTATGAGCCTCTGACAAGCAGAGCAGCCTACCTGTTACGGCCTGGAGTTTGTACAGGAAGCTGTTCCAAAGCTTGCACTGCTTGGCTCTCAGGAAGCGCTCGATCTTCAAGGCATCCGCATCCAAGGAGACATATTCCTGCCGCACACTCTCAAATGGTGGCCAGTCCGATCCCGAAGCGGTGGGGCTCCTGGCGAAACCGATGTTAGCAGGAAGCTAACTCCACATTAGCCACCACTGAGGTGTCAAACACGTGACTGCTAGGAAGACTGCCTCACATTGCAGCATGAAAAGACCCAAATTCGCCAGATAGCAGACAAAATAACCTAGACGCCTAACAGAAAATGTTAAATTCATGATGGATAGCAAGAGGCAAACACTTAGCATGCAGCTGAAAGGTTTCATTAACATGGGGGCCACGTGACACGTTTCGTGTTCTGCTAACGATGCAGAGGAGCAGACTGACCCGGTTTTGGCGAAATTAGCCCAGTGTTTCATCATCTTCCGGCTCACGGCCTCCTCCTCCTCCGTGTAGCCTAGGCTGACGTTCAGTGGCAGGCCGAAGACAAACTCGATCTCGTAGCCGTGCATCACACCCATCCAATGTGGCCATGGGTTTCTCGAGGAGCGCTGGCCGAAGTAGTAGACAAAGGCCTTGTTTCCAAAGCCGGCAAACGTGCGCACAAAGTCCAGCAGGGGGCAGGTAAAAAAATGGTCGCCAACCACATGATTGAGCGCATCCCTGTTTTTGCAGCCGCTGAACTCATCCTCCCAGTCTGTGTACTGGAGGATGACGGCTTCCCGTGAGATCTGGCTGAATCCTGGCAGTGCCAGCGCCACCCCGGCTAGGAAGTCATCCCGGGAGATCAGGCTCTCGTGCATGATGCTAAAGCCTGGAGCTCCGTATGGCAGGAAGTATGTCCCCTCGTCTCTGTTCACCCCCAGGAGCAGGTTGCTTGTGCTGAACTGCCCCAACTGGAGCAGAACTTCGGGCAAGTCGGTGAGGAAGACTCCGTCGACCGTGGGAGGAAAAGTCGTCCTGACCAGTGGAACCTTCACTACATCAAACTGTCTGTTCACGAGGTCTGTGGGCTGCACGCTGCGGAGGCAGGACTCCACATCGACGCCGGGCTCTGGCGGGCATCCCAGAAGCCTGGCTAGAGCCACGGACCGGTTCTGGGCTTCCTCGGGTGGGATGGCCGCCCATGGCACATTGATGGTACCGCTCTGCAAGATGGCGCGTGCGAACAGGCCACGGCTGCCTGGGGACAGGACGTGGAAGCCGACAGCAGCAGCACCGGCGCTCTCGCCGAACAGCGTGACAGACCTCGGGTCCCCGCCGAAGCTTTCGATGTTCTCAGCCACCCACTGCAGAGCCAGCCGTTGGTCAAACAAGCCGGCATTTCCCCGAACATCCATACTACCTGGCAATGCCAGAAAGCCCAGGGGACCTAGCCGGTAGTTCATGGAGACCACCACCACGCCCTCCGTGTGGCTCAGAAAACGTCCATCGTACAGAGGCAGGGAGGCAGACCCAGAGGAGAAGCCGCCTCCATAGATCCACACCATGACAGAGGCACGGGCTGGCTTAGGGTGTGGCACCCATATGTTCAGGTAGAGGCAATCCTCACTCATCTTCGTGTTAGGGTTCCACATCTCTGACCCCAGGAACCCTGGGAAACTTGTGTCTAGAGGTTGGTGACAAGACTGGGAGTACCTTGTCGCATCCCACACCACGGACCACAGCTTCCGGGGAATGGGCTGCTTGAAACGGAGATCCCCAACAGGAGGTTCTGCGTACGGGATGCCCAGGAATGCCGAAACATGGCCCCCCGGCACGGGGACCCGCAGTCCCAGGACTGAGCCCTGCTTCGTGAGGATGGTGAGTTGGTCTTCAGCATGAGAAACTGCAAGCAGTTGGAGCCCAAGGAGTAGGTGAGACAAGGTGGACACTGTGACCATCTTGAGTTTCTTAATCCTACAGAGAGGACACAAGGTGGAGAGCATGACCATTACCCTGGTGACCATAAGATCCTCGGTCTTAGAGAGAGATTATGGGAATCGGGATATAGGAGGTGAAGGACTGATCCTAAACACCTTCAGTCCATGCTCTAAGCCAGGGTTTCCCATCCGGCCCCCCGGGACCCACAAACAGTCGAAGTTTTTCCTCCCTCCCAGCTCCTGGGAGCAAAAATGTGGACCATCTGGAAGGGAGCTGAGAGGGAGCAAAAACATGGACCGACTGCAGGTTCCCGAGAACCAGACTGGGAAAGACTGCTCTAAGTTAAACATCCAGCATAAAAACAACACAAAACAAATGCTTATGAGCCCTGATTCAAAGGAGGTAAAAAGTTCTTCAGACTTCAAAAGCCCCCTGTGACTCACTTAACTCCAGACCCAGATTAGTAAAGTCCTAGCAGCAGGCTTTGATCAAGCATACCTCTGTTTTAATTAGTCTCAGTCTGTCAAAAAGGGCAGAGCGGACCGACCAAACAGCATGAACGAATAAGGAGAACACGGTGAAGCTCAAGGTTCCTCCAGAGAAACCTGCAGCTCACACCCATGGTTCACGGGCAGGTTCCCAGAAGCTGGTTCACCGGGAATGGTTCTGCGTTGTTTGACAGGGCTTATATTCAGTGTCCCAATCGTGGCATGATGGAAATGGTGAAGCTGAGAGCAGTGTGTGGCTTGGAGAATTAAGACTCTATGCTTACGATCAAAAGGTTGCTCATTCACATCCTGTGGTTGACATAGGTGTTTTCACCACTGGGCTGTTAAATAAAGCCCTAAACCCCCAAATCGCTCCAGGGACGGGCTGACCCTGCTTTCTTGAACGGTACGTAGCTTTTTATAGAAGCATCTGCTGTCTAAATCTAGCATTAAACCTGGTGAATCAGTTTTAAAGCTGTATTTTTACAGAGGGGGGATAATAGATTTTTTTTTTTATTCATCCGATGCTTTTATCTAAAGCAGCATATGTTCCTTTTGTTTTTTAGGGCCCAACAGTAAAACCACACTGCTAACACTGGGATTCGAACCCACAACCTTCCACTCGCATGCACAGCGGCCTAACTTGTGGAGCCACTCACCCAGAACATCTCAAAATATTCCAGATTCAAAATAGCACAGCGATCAGGTCATGCTGACTGTGCTGCATCCACGGAGCATGGACTGGTATCGGGTATGTGCAGACAGACACGCTTGGGGCCGTGGAGAGCGGCCCACATGTCGGTCAGTCGGGGGGAGACGGATCTGACCGGTTAAAAGGCAGGATTGGCAGTGAGGCCGAGACCCTCGAGAAAACAACAACCGGCATCTAGTCCATCCGTAATTGATGCGGGGAAGATAAGGAAAAGGTGGGGTGACAGATTCCCCAGCCTGAGCGTGAGATTTTAATCAAGCCAATGGTGACTTGAGCTGGAGACGGGTGAATGGGCAGGCATGTGCGAGGGGGGGGTCTTCAGCGGCCCCTGTTATCAGATCTGAGTGGTTAATAACCTCCTCAGCAGCACCTTGGTCTCTGCGTACGTTACTGTTTTATTTGTTTATCTGCAGCGTGTACAGTTTTCAAGATTATTTTGCAGGAATATGAAAATGAAAATATCAGTTTTCCCCTAACTCGCAATTGGGTTTTCCTTCTTTCCCCTTTTCTGTCAAAAAAAAAAAAAAAAAAAAAAAAATTCTTCGGCAAAGAAGAATGTGGCCGGGCATCTAGAAAAATGCCCTGTGCCGGGGAAATTTGATTTGCTGTTGAAAGAGGGGAGAGAAAGATTGTCCCCAAACTTTTTTTTTCCTTCTTATCATTTCATTCACACAGAGTGGTAGTTGAATAAAAAACACATTCAACTGGGGTGAAATAAATAAGCGCAAACACACACAGACACACACGCGTGCGCACACACACACTGAGCCGTCACCCATGTGTCTCAAAGAAAAACATGACGGGATATACGTCAGCTAAAAAACTCCTATGTGCCTGTTTAAATCGAAGATAAAGTGTCGTTCACTAAATACCGACCCCAGGTGGTAACTAACATCAAATTAAAAGTCTACAAACAGTGACTCATTCATAAACATACAACAGAAATTATAGATATGCAAATAGGCTCTATCAATGATAATGTAGCCTGTTTGGCAGTCACTGACAACAGGGACTAAAACCTCAAGGCGTAAGATGATAATTGAGAAGACAGACTGTGGGGGTAGGGGCCACTTGCGATGAAGATGAAGATGGTGGTGATGAAGATGGTGATGATGGCGTCACACCATCAGTGCTGAGATCCATTCCTGTCTATGCTTCTGGTTCTATTTACAGACATGCAAAGGAAACATAAGGGTGACGCAACCTGCAGTGGAAAAACCACCCCACCCAGGGCGCCCCCTGCTGCCTGGGAAAGGCTCCAGCCCCCTCCCACCCCAACCACGACCCTGACCAGCATAATCAGAAGATGGATGGCTAGATGAACGAGTAAACATTATTCCTCATTAATGCTTTTAAAATATGCAGTCTTAATTAATATTTTGCTCTAACTGTATAAATCTCTGTTGTCGCTGCCATAGAAACTTGGCTACATAAATGAGTAAGAAAAAAAGGTAATTTTATAGGTTGCCATGGGTATGATAGAAAATTATCAATCTGCAAAAACCCAGTGGGATTCTGGGAAATAGGGCCAAGACAAGGGCCCGGCATCGCCATAGTTAGCGATTGCTGTTATGCGTGCAGCTCTCTTAAAAGGCCAGTGTGCCACACGTAGGAACGAGCTGGGATGGCGTGCCAGGTGAGGTGTTGTGTGGCCCACCGCGATTGTCCGAGGCGATAATAGAGCCCCAGTGTGGCTGAGGTGCTGTTACACATGCTGGTGGTAGGCCAGGGGCTGCAGGGGAGGGCCAGATTGCCGTCTGCTCTGCCAGAGTAAATCAAAAGCATCAGATAATGAACTGAGATGTGCGAGAAGCATCTGAGTGGTGGGTCAAATGCACTTGCAATTTTTACGATGCTCTCCTGGCCATTCTGCGCATACACACACTGTACACACACACACACACACACACTGTCCTTCAAGGTTAAATCCAGCTTTTTAAATTCCTTAATGCCGTTGTCATGGTAAGGATGAGGAACGGCAGAAGATGAATTCCTTCAGCATGACACGCTGGGGCTGTATGATCTGCTCTTCACACACCCTGCACCTCCAGACTATGGACTGCGGAGGTCTGACCTTAATCAAAGGTGCAGCCATTAGCGGTGTACCCCCCTGCCCTCCCCCAAAAGCAGACCCACCATCAATGTGGCCCGCAAATGATCTTTATCCGGCCACCATTAGGATAGGAGAGTCAACAACACCCACCTCATCTTATGCTGCGTTCCATTTACCGAAGTTGGAGCTGGGAATAACATCACACCTGAGTTAACTGCGTTCCAGTGGGAATAACGTCACACCCGAGTTAACTGCATTCCAGTGGGAATAACGTCACACCCGAGTTAACTGCGTTCCAGTACAACAACTCGGAAATCCATTTAGCAATACCAGGGACCTGTTTCAAAAAGGAAGATTTCTTGCTTAGCCGGACAACTTGTCGGATTTACGGTACCCCAGTTATCCGGCTAAGCAAGAAGTCCCGGTTTCTGAAACAAGCCCCAGTTCTATCCAGGTTCATTGTTAGCCAGTGTTTGCAATACCACTGGATTACAACGCATTACACAGTATTTTGAGCATAAAAACACTGTAGCAACATGTACACAGGTAGCAGGTGGACAGTACTGTGTGTACGACCAATTTAATGAGACACCAATAAGACATAAGTGCCAATAAACCGTATAAAACTACAGCTTTAACTTCTGTGGATAAAGGCCACAGCCATCTTGAAGTCTGAGGTCGGGGTTATATAGATTTCTCAGATTTTCCTAGTTGTAATTCTGACTGGGAACTCAGAATTTCCAAGTTTCAAGTTCAAATGGAACGCAGTATTAGTCCCTATAAATTACCCACCATCAAGATGTTCAACTTTCAAACCGTCTCTATATGCTGAATGTCTCACACTGATGACATCACTAATTGTGGCCCTGCAGCAGTTCCAAATACACCGCAAGTTAATCAGGTAAGACGGATATTAACAGCCAGTCACTGCTTGAGGACGGAGAGGGGGCGCTCTTTCACTTGCTAATAGCCAGATCGATAAACAGATCTTTCCACAAACAATTGACATTCCAATGGTGGGGAAGGCCAGGAGCTGAGGAGTCGGGGGGGTGTTTGTTATGGTTTATGTTTCATGCTTGTTCATTTTCCTCTTCCATTGTCCTTCAGAAAAAAATGGATCACAGAAAAAATATTGACATTCCTAAAAAAGGTTTTCACATTCCTCTTGTCTTGTGAAAACAGCAGCCCTGCTTTTCCGGAAAATCCTAGCCCACGGTATACTGTACACATGTTTAGGAGGGACCGCGGGTGTCATTAGGGCTGATCACTGGGAGCTACATCCCCGAGAATCTTAAGCCTAGCCCAGAGAATTATAGCCCCGATGCCAATCTTCCTTCAAAAAAAAAAAAAAAAAGTCAAGCCTCAGGTAAACTTCACTTACCCCCTGATTTTTTTCAATTCCTAGAAACTCCCCTGGGAGAGACATGGATCAGCAGATACAGGCGGCCCCCACTAGCATGCAGAATCCGACCACGGGGTCAAAGTCAAGTGCCATGACTCAGACGTCTACCTACAGTATGGTAGCTAAGAAATCAGTCTTAAACCTGTGGAAACTCAGGCTCTCACACTATGACCATCCTGCGAATCATCCTTCCCCAGAAAATGTTTATGGAGACACAAACCCAGAGTCACAAAATGCCTTAAACTTCTGTTACCTCATTTACGTGCAATGAGCCCAGTTATGGATTTTCTTATTTTAACTGCTTATTAATTTTAACAGCAACGCGAAACTGCACCCACAGAGCAACCGCATATTATATTTAAATACTCAGTTTGCAAAACACAAGGTTGAGAGACCCGCAATATAAGGCAAAGCGTAAAGGCTGCTAGTCCGCAATCTGCGTTTCGCCTGTAAGCCAGAGGCAACGCCCGCAGATTGGCGGAAATACCCTCTTTCGGTAGCTTTAACCGGTCGGTGCAGGGACGGCTGAGCACCTGTCCCCATTGACCAAAAGATGACGATTTTTAAAATTGTTTAGGTTATCTTTTCATGTTTATTTTTTATTTTTTTTTATTTGCAAGTTTATGTTAATTAAAATAAATATATTAAATAATTAAAGTTTTCTCTTGCAGCGTGACGAAAAAGAGTACACCTTAAACATACGAAAACATGCTGAAGATCTGATCTTGCATGCTGCGCCAATATATCAGGCTACAGCCATACATCTTAAACGCCGCTGCTTGGTGCAAATGACCATCGGGAAAGCTAGGCGTTTGCCGTAGGTTCTGGAGAAGATCCAGAAGAGCGCATCGCTTCCACAGCAAACGGATGGGATAAACGCAAAGAAAAACCTACACTTAGCGATCAAGCGCGGTGGATGATAGAGCCACGCCCCCCGCGTCACTCCTTTATTTTTAACTTTTAACAACACACTTGTTACTTGATACTGCGGCCACAAAGTGAAACTGACGAAGACATTCGCTAAGTCTTTGGACGGAGCTCGCCATTCCTATGAACTAAGACGGCGTTATCGGAGGGTGGTGGCCAGATGGTCGCGAAAAGCGTCTGCGTTACAGCATCAATATTGTACGGAGAGAAAAACGCCGTCCTGATCACCTACCCGTCACACACAGTCGGCCTTTAGTGCGGTGGAGAACAGGGTGAAACACTGTATATGCCCGTAATAACGGGACGGAGCAAAACCTCGCGAGTGTTTGACCACAAGCGGGAAGCTCCGCAGATCTGCGCAGATCTGTGAGACGTGGTAGACCAGTGCAGGTCTATGAGGCTTGTGAACCTCTGCTTACTTGTGCAAATCTGTGAGACATGACAGTCCTGTGCAGATCTGTGAGACATTGCAGACCTGTGCAGATCTGTGACACATTGCAGACCTGTGCATTTTCATCCCTCCGTACACCAGATTCTCCTTACCGTCCTCAGTCCATAATGTATGTCCCTGCCTTTGGAGAGATATGCAAAAACTTTCTTTCACTCTAAGAAAATGCCGCAATGTCCTTTAAAATGTGAAACGGGTGACTTTCCGTATTTAAAAAGGCACCCTGTAACACGACGCTGACAGATCCGTCCATTTAATGCGTGGCGGTGGGGTATGTCAGGTCCTGGAAGATGCCTACGGTTCTCGCTTGCTTCAAGCCGTGAGCGCCACCTGTTCCAAGTCGAGACAGGTGTTTTCGCTCCACTGTTTCAACCGAGGATTTCATCAGACCCATTATCTGCCTCTCAGCCCCCCCCCTCACCAACCGGGAAGTCACTCAAATATTTCAGAAGGTACTGCCTCAGATGTAGAAGCATTCCGCACTCCCAGTCTTCCCGCTACGGCTGGCTTATATATAAACCTCGCGATTTTCTTTTGCACCTGTCTAATTGGATTTTCTGTAAAGGGTTACATCATACCTCTTAGCAGTGATGCAGCACTCTGATAATGTCTCAGTTTTATTTGGTATATTTATTCCTGGGGCTGGGGAACAAGGTATGATTTGAATGCCAGTGTGTAAAGAAGGGGGCGCCTTTCTTGTTTATGTGTTTATTTTTAAATGGCTGGGACAGCCTCCGCAGAGTCACACTGTAAATGAAGCCACCACCATATTTCTTTGTCACTAATGATTCTTTTATTTTCGTATTTCGGTCCAGCTGAGCCTTGTAAAAGCTCACTGTGTTACTGTAAAAGCTGCAGTCTATATATCTTCATGTTTGCCTTTCATGTTTATACACTAGTAACACTCTGGTATTTTGAGTCTGCTGCCCAACCCCCCCCCAGCCCCCTTAGCTTCCACACGGCCTGCGCTTCTGACGTCTCTGGTGCACTCACGCCTGCGCCCCCCATGTGTCACTCAGGTTTGAGGCAGAGCACAAGGTGTGCCGGTGGGGTGGCCTGAGGGGGTGGGGTGGAGGGGGGGGGATGTGGTGGCTTGAACTGGGTCAGCGCTTCGAGAGCTACTGTGTTCTGGTAGCGCCGCGATTTGCAACGGGCCAACAATGTACAATGTTGCTGCTATGTTGTGGAAACATTCATAAAATGGGTCATGGTCTCTGGTCTGCCAGGGGGGTTAAGGGGGGTCTGTGGGGGGGGGGGTCTTTAATAAAACAGCTCAATAAAATGACTGACAGGGTGAATCGGAAACTGAGGGCAGATGGTCAGTTATTATTTAATCTCTTTATATAAGGATTTTAACGTCAAAAGGCAGCCAATGATGACTGGTACAGAAATCCTGCCGATACAGAGTGTTTATACATCAGCTACAGTCTGTATACCAAGAAATACAGGTATACAGGACTTTAGCCTGTTTCCATAAACACTCACCCCTGAGCATAAGCATCTGCACTGCTGGGTGTTCTGGACCTCTGCAGAAAAGTAGCGCATAGCCCCCAGTCTGAGGCACGCGTCTGGCTGGACGGCACCACCTGCCGCTGGGGGCTCGGACTTCGTTCACTGATTTGTTTATGCTGACAGCAGCCCTAAACGTGGGCGGGGGTCAGCTCTGCCAAGCACAGCTCTTATTAAAGTGGCTCGCCATTAGGGCAAATGTCTAGAGGCAGCCAGTGCTGCAGACAGCTGGGGGAAGAGCCGGGGCATTTTTGTCGGGGTGGAAGTGGGAAGGGGCAGGAATCTGCCTCGGACACTGTCGCAATAATCCACACAGTTTGCTTGTGATTATTCTTTCACACAGGATTCCTGTAGTCCATGTTTCATGCAGTGATCCAATGGTATGTGTTCCATACAGTGATCCTGTAGTACGTGTTTTATACACACTGATCCAGTGATCCATGTTTCATAAGGTGATCATGTCATCCATGAGTGAAATAGTGATCCTGTAGTCCATGTTTCTTATTGTGTTTATGTGATCTACGTGTTACACACTGATCCTGTGATCCGTGTTTCGTAAAGTGATCCTCTGGTCCATGATTCATACAGTGATCCTGTAGTCCATGTTTAATGCGGTGATCATGTGATCGATGATTCATATAGGGATCCTGTAGTCCATGTTTCATATTGTGATCATATGATCTATGTGTCACACTGATCCTGTGATCCGTGTTTCATAAGGTGATCCCCTGGTCCATGATTCATGCAGTGATCCTGTAATCCATGATTCATGCAGTGATCCTGTAGTCCATGATTCATACAGTGATCCTGTAGTCCATGTTTCATATTGTGGTCATGTGATCAATGTGTCACAAACTGATCCGTGTTTCATAAGGTCCATGATTCATACATTGAACCTTTCGGGCAGCCAGTGCTGGTAGGGGCTGTTATTACAGGGGTCCCACACTTTTTCAGGAATATTGTGTCTAAGGACATTTTGCCGTCATGCTCTAAAACACAGTGAGCGTTTTCTGTCTGCCTCCATCGCCAAAAGCCCGGGGATGTAATTTTCTCTCTGTGCCATGCAGTTCTTTAATTTGCAGTTTGTTATTAAATATAGACTCAGATAGAACGTGTTGCCTGGTCCGTGCTCCCTGACCCAGGGCTAGCGCTGTGCCACGTCTTGTTTTCCCTGCTGTGGTCCATCGATTGCATGTTTTTTCACCCCCACAGTCAGCTGAAGGCCACATTTCCAGTACGTTGTAGAGGACGGATACGTGCTCCTCCCAAAAGGCAGGCGCTTAAACCAGGACATGTTGATGACTTGTCCCCCCCCCCTGCGAATTGCTGTATTATCTTAATAAGAAACCCTTGAGCTGGCATGGCATCGGAAACTGCGGCGCTGGTACTGAACCAGCTGCTAAGGGTGGTGCTCAGAGTTTATGGTCCGGTGGCTCAGCGCCACAGCGGCTGAGGTGGGAATCCAGCTTCCCAGCCCGGAAGCCCTCGGCATTCATTTGGTAAGACCTTAATAAAACTGAACCCCATTGCAAACCGTTTAGTGTTCTGCCATGCTTTTGCGTGTCGAAGTTTTATTACCAGTGTGTATTTGAAGTGTATATATATATTGTGGCAATAATTCACTGTGTCCCACTCTTCTAGCTCTCCCACGGAGCCGCGAGTAAAGGAGATGTTAACCTTTATGAATTACACTGAAGGCGCCCCCCAAGCAATAAGCCTGTAGGTCCTAACAGCAGGTACTGGGCCCTTTAAGATGAAGAATGATGAATTATGTGGAGTTTATTCAATTATAAATATATATGTGGATGAATGTAACACCAAAAATAAACAAACAAATGAATCATTAGTATTAATATTATGACTATTATTAATAATAATTAAGTTTAAGTTAGAACTTCTTTTGAAGCTGGAGCTCTAAGTCAGCATGTTAAGCAAAGTCCAGCAGTTTCTGATTTTCAGTTGTCTACAGTCCTCATAAACTTGAATACGGCCTACAAAGGGACGCAGGGACGACGGAGCTTTCTGGAGAGTTTCCTTTCAAAGGAGGACAATGGTCAGACTCGGTAAGACATGGCCGTCACGTGTCTTTGCATTCGTTCTGGCAACAATCACGAGCAGGCACAAAGGAGAGAGAGAGTTGGGGGCTCAGTGCCTTCTGGGAAAACGAACTTGATGTCAAGGCGAAGCGGCCACTCTCCGTGACTCACTGTTTATGTATGAGCTGCAGAGATGGTGACATAACCGACCTGAAATAAGGTGACGTCTTCCTGGCCACCGTGGGATTATGGGTCGCATTCCCGCCCCGTGGCGTTGTTTCATGAACGAGGCGACATTCACAGGACGTCCGCCATTATGTTGTGTTCTCATCCAAGATTAGACAGAAGTTTTCAGGAGGTCATGACCCCACAAATCATAACCTTTTTGTAGACAACATAGATATTACTTAGATTTGTCTCAGCTTAGCTATCAGTGACAGCGTTGACCAAACCTGAGTGACCACAGTGTCCCATGGAGAGGCCTTCGATAGCAACCCCTTTAAACTTAATGGTGTGGCCTAGATATGAAATCCTTGGCTGTAGTGTTCACCTGTGTATATCCATTTAACTGCAATAACTGAGGTTTTGTGCAGGGTGTATCCAGGACGTGTGTGTGTGAGTGTAGAGGCGATTCTTCAAAAGTGCACCCATCCGGCTTCTTTCTATTCTCAGTGTTCCGTTCGGTCTTCCTGGTGCCCCAGTTAATTTAATAAGTCTTCTTCTGCATTCAGTTGTACAGATGAGTGGAGGACATGAGGTTGACTTGGTTGAGAAGTAGCTGAGAAGCCCCCTTGGGAAATGAGCTTCAGACCCGGTACTCTGACGGGACCCAGGGAAGTAACAGCGACAACACACATGGCACAGTTATCCTCACACGTGGGCATGACTCCTTTGCTGCCAGCAGAAAGTCATGCAACCTTAATACAAACACCAAAGTTTTTTCCTGATAAATTTACACCGTGATAAAAATAGCCATTTTAGCAAGTCTATTTCCACCAACGATCCATCTGTGGGTCTTCCCTTCCCCGCAAACGGGACTCTGCACGGTGTAGTTCCAATTATGGTAATTACTTATGGGATTTCAAGGGTTCTTAGCAATAATTGACTGCTCTTTCGTATTCAAATGACACGACCCATCCCCGGGGTGTCGGTCTTACAGCGGCTCGCGACCCATCCCCCCCGGAACGGATCTGTCGCCGCTGATCCCACTGCTCTCTCCTGGGCACCACGGGTCAGTCGTAGTCACACTCAGCCTCCAATCCCAGTAGTAGCCTGGATGGCCTTACACAGCCTGCTCTGACTTTGTGTCATTGTACAGGGA